GATGAGCAAAATGCAGAGAGTGAGCCACTACCACCACCACCAGAGGAAATTCGATTAACGTTTTCAGTGTTATTAAGATGAGGTGTCATCAAATAATGCTTACATTTCATCAGTGCCTTTTATAATATAATATATGGAGATATACCTATCTCCTAGAACTGGAAGGGACCTTGAAAGGTCATTGAGTCCAGCTCCCGTGCCTTCACTAGCAGGACCAAGTACTGATTTTGCCCCAGATCCCTAAGTGGCCCCCTCAAGGATTGAACTCACAACCCTACAGTTTAGCAGGCCAATGTTCAAACCACTGAGCTATCCCTCCCCCTTTTCTGGCCAAGGATACACTTTAGAGATGCGATTGTGCACACAAGTCCCTTTGCTGCTGAAACGCAGCCATATCTAAGGTGGAACATGGCAGATGTTTAACAGCTCAGGGCAAGGAGTGAATAGAATCTGTATCCAATTGAAACTGCAGGGGACGCTTAGGTAGGCAGAATGTAATGTAAAGCCCTGGCTGGGATAATTGACTGGGAATTGGTCCTGCTTTGAGCAGGGGGTTGGACTAGATGACCTCCTGAGGTCTCTTTCAGCCCTGATATTCTGTGATGGTATCTGGCCCACAGACTGGTAAAAGCCCTTAACTCATACAAAAACGGTCACAGAACCTTTAATGACTTCAAGTGGCCAGGACCTTGGCTTTATGTTTCATCCAAATGACGGCACCTCCAGCTGTGCAATGCTATCGAGTACCATATGCTGGGGTACGGGTTGCACAGTCAGACAGAAGAGTGCCCCCTCGTGAGTCACTCGCTGCTCACGTACACCAGTGGACGTGCAGTCCCAGGGCTGACCTATTCAGCCTGGATGCATTGGGAGCGTTACAAAAATATGTCCCTAAAGTGGTGGCGGCTGCTAAGAGAAAAGATCAATAGATTCATGGGAAGCGAAAACACAGTGTCAAACATGCTTGAGATGTTTTACTCACATCCTTTGCTCTAAAAAGCGTCTTTCGTTTAAGGATTTCCAAGCACTTAATGCCATTCTAAAGCCAGCACAAGCCCCTCAACCTGCTTCCCATGCTGTGATGAAGTGGGAATTTTTTGTACTAGATTTATGATGCCTATGCATGCCTCAGTTTCCTTCTACACTGGGCCTGGCTATTGGGGGGTACGGTGGGGGAGAAGGATTAAGTCTGCTCTCGGGGAAGAACAAGAGACATAGGTGGGCATGTGTCACCTAGCTGTCTGGGCCATTAATGAACAGGCTGAAAAAACTGACCCAAAGCAACAGAGGAGCCTCCCGGCAAGACAAAGATGCCCCAACACCTGAAAAATCCACACCTAACAGCAGGAAACCCTGGCAGGCGGGACATGTGAATTGGGCTGGAGAACAAAGAGGAAAAGATGTCAGGTGACGAGAATAGCTGTCCTTTGGGTGGGGACAGGGGTTTAAGAGCTCTCATCTGGGGGAGGGAAAGGGACAAGAGAGGGAGCCAGAAATGAAGTCCATCACAGCTCGGTTGGCTCATCCTGGCACTGGTTTGATTAGGATGGACTAGAGTTAACTTCTGCCTTTCTTTGCTAACCTAAAGACTTTCAGATTTGGTAGCCAGGTGCTTAATAAATGGTTTCCTTGTTTGGAAAGGCTGCCTGTGTTGCTGCAAGTATTCCCTGAGCATGTTGCGCCCTGAAGGAAGACAGTACAAGCCTCCCGCAAGACTGGCTGGGCTGGATTTGCTGCAGTGAACCATGGAGAGAGAAAGAGGGAGAGGAATCACTGGGGGTGAAGGCCCAGTCTTGGAATCTTGTAAGCCATGTGCCAGCCCCTTGAACCTGTGGTTGTCTTTGGGGCCTAGCAGATGAATGGGGTCACTCCCAATAGACTGGTTACAGGCTGGGGCATAGACCACATCCTGTGACTCCATGACACGAGACACTTGTGCCATTGTATAAACTGGCAGGCTGAGAGTACACCAAGGTCTCCTGACTCCTAGCCTTGGCCTGCAACTCCAAGACCATCCTTCCTCACTACAGACACGAGTTGGAGCATGATTCTTTACCATCATTCTTACAAAGTTGGGCAAGGCCAACCTTATAATAGTGTTATATACTATAGTTCTTACACAGCACTTTTCATCCCTCGATCTCAAAGTGCTGTACATAGAGGGTCGGTATTATCATCCCCATTTTACAGATGGGAAACTGAGGTAGAGGAATGAAATGACTTGCCCAAGGTCACCCAGCAGGTCAGTGGCAGAGATGGGCATAGAACTCAGGTCTCCTGAATGACAGCACAGTGCTCGATCCACTAGGCAATTCCACTTTCCATGGCAATACAGTAGTGTCCTGAGTGTTCGATCTGGTCCAATGCACAGCATAGACATGGCCACACCTGGCTCGTCTATCCTGACCAGGGGAACAGGGCTAGAATCCTGCTAGGGACAAAGGTGATTCAGGAACGCAGCAGTTAGCACAATTTTGTCACTAGCACACATAAGGCCCTAGTGTCCAGTGCACACTGCCTCCATTTTGAGAGGAACCACAGGAGCTTTGCAAAAATCAGCAACTCAATTATCTAAACATTTCCCAGGAGAGATGCTGAAGTGACCTCTCAGTGAATGGATTGCCCAGGCGACAGGGAGATCCCCTATTCAACATCCCGCTGGCAGCGAGGATTCACAGAGCCTTTGAAAAGGCTCCCTGAACTGTGACCCCCCAGGGGTCTCCCTGAAAGGGAAATTTCTATGCATGCTGCACACACAGCTGGGAGGGAGACGGCACAGACAATGAATGACACTGTTCCTAGAAAGCCGGGCAGGGACTGGATTTGGAATAGCCAAGCCATTCACAGCTCACTCTGAATCCCAGATCAGAGAGAATGGCCCCGGATCTCCATTTTGCTCAACAGTGCGTTGTTTGTAGTGCAGTAATGTGATATTTAAATTCAAGGGTATTTATTAGTCCACTGAATGAGCTTTGATGCCCCGCATCTTAGGGTTGCTCCAACTTGGAAGGGAGAGGAGCCCACGTTACACTTGTCACAAACCTAAATCAGCAGCAGGGAGTTTAAAGGAACTGAGTATCCAGCACTGCTAATGCCCCACCAACCCCTTTTGAAGCGGTTTCCAACGGGCAGGGATTGGGGGAAGGAAGGACGAACCTCACTATTCCAGTAAAACAGCTTTATAAGCAAACTTCACTCATCTATTGCTCAGCCCTTAGAAGCAGGACAGCAGAGAAACCTCTGTGGCAAGTTAAGAACACAGGACTTGCCTAGGGTGATCAGATGTCCCGATTTTATAGGGACAGTCCCGATTTTTGGGGCTTTTTCTTATACACCTCTATCCCGATACAACGTGACCCGATATAACATGAATTCGGATATAACGCGGTAAAGCAGTGCTCCGGGGGGTGTGGGGCTGCGTACTCCGGTGGATCAAAGCAAGTTCGATATAATGCAGTTTCACCTATAACGTAGTAAGCTTTTTTGGCTCACAAGGACAGCGTTATATTGGGGTAGAGGTGTATATGCACCCATTACCCCCCACCTCCTGCCCCGATTTTTCACACTTGCTATCTGGTCATCCTAGACTTGCCAGACTAGATCAGAGCAGTGGGCCCATCTAGTTCAGTATCCAGTCCCTGACCAGTACCAGATGCTTCAGGGGAAGGTGGAAAATACCCATGATGGTGGAACCTGCCAGTAGGGGAATTTCTTCCCAACTCCTTTAGGCACTGAATTGGTTTCTATCCCAACTATGGAGATTTTAATTTAGCCTAATGAACTCTTGGTCTCAATGACTTCTTGTGGCAGTGAGTTCCACAGGCTAATTGTGCTTTGTGTAAAAGGTTTTATAGCTATTTTAAATGAGGTGTCTTTCAGTTTAATGGTTTTTGTTTTACGAGGTGGTAAAAAGGAGTCAATTTATGGTCTCTGTACCAACCATTATTGTGTACATCTCATGTCCTCCCTTATGTCTTCACTCTAAGCATTCCCAGTCAGTTCAATCTGTCTCTTGCATTCAAATCCCCTTCCATTTTACAAGCTGTAACAGATTAGAAGCGGCAAGCTCCGAAGTATCACAAAAGGCTATAAACATGGTGGTACCATCAGCATCAGAGGTCTGATCCTGTGATGGCTCCCACTGACTTTAGTGGAGTTTGGATGAGGCCAGCTTCTCTTTAACCAATCTTCCTACGTATTTTACTGCACTCCATCATTGTAGTAACTGAGCGTCTTTTCACTTCTATAGCACCTTCTATCACAGGATCTCCGAGTGCCTGGCGCACTGTGGATGTTGTATAATAACAAAGTACATTAAGACTCAGGATAACAGTGAGGCAGGTATGAGCCTTATTTTCCAGAAAAAGAAACTAGTTAAGTGACTTGACTCAGGTCCCTGAGTTCTCTTCCTAACGTGGCAAAGTAAGGAGGAGAAACCATATATGATCCCCAGTCCTACAACTTAACCACAAGATGATCCTTCTTGGCAACCATAAAACTCTGTAAGGAGGGACAAAATTGGTACATTAAAGTGAAACAGTTCAAAGAGAAGGAAGTGACCTTCAGATCCACTCTGGAATTGGAAGAAGGGTGACTTGGCCAAGTTCACATAGTAGGTCAGTGAAAGAGCTGGGAACAGAACTTGGAAATCCTGCCTATCAGACCCAGGCTTGCTCTGTCTAATCTATCATGGTGTGTGGCTTGATTTCACCACTTCCATTAAATGTTGATTATCTGACGCCTGGGTATGTAAAATACTCATTAATACACAGAAATAAATCAGTTACATTGGAAAGGGCCCTCCCTCTTATTTGAATGACTTTGATGTCCCCCATCTCAACTGGGTAACAAGCTTAGACTTGTATATACTTAGCTGTAGCCAATGCATTATCTGAAAACAATTTGATACCTAATTAAAATGGGTTTCAGCAGATCCACATCTCAGAATATTGCGCATGAGAATTTACTTCAACTCCCCACAGATTTGCAAAACAGTTTTGTACAAAAAACATGTTTTTTTATTTCACAAAATTGGGTGGCTGTGTTGCAGGAATAAAACCGGCCCTATACAGAGGATCAGATGAAAAAGTCGCCACGTGTATTTATACAGAAACACAACAGCGTTAAGAATTCAGGTACTTTGTAGGATCATCACTAATACAGTAAAAAATAGTCTCCATCTGGATCCTTTAAATTTGAAATTGATCACACTAAAAACAACCTGAGGTTATTCTAAACTGGACTATGGCCTGAACCAGAATTCCATGCTCGCTCCAAAGACCCTGGAGGGAAAGGTAACATGTGGAATGGATTTCTTTTATGAAAGGTGGGGGGAGGGGAGGCCCTGACCGTTCTTTGCTAGGCACTGCAGATTCTTAGAGCTTGACAATGGGAAAGTGTTATTCCTATACACTGGAAGTAACAAGGGCAAGTACAATTGTATGAGCATGGAGTTGATGTGCAGACAGCCCAAAAATGGTTACTTCACATATGTACGCAAATTCTCAGGGTCTGGAAAGTTCAACTATTAACATTTTGAGGCATCAAGCACTTGAGTGCTCTTCAAGGCAAATCTGTATTTGTTTTACTTTATGAAATAGCTCAGTGGGTTTCAGATCCTATACCCCCACTAGTGAAATAGCTGTGGTCAAGCTTTAAAACAAACAGCCCATCTTACACTCCTGATTACGGAGATCCACCCCTGAATGATCCTAAGTGCGTTGGTGAGGACGCTTGTCAGAAAGCTCGCTCTGGAAGGAGAGGATCTGAATCACACAGAGGATGTGAACCATGCAGTCACTAATGATGAGGGCAAGGAACAGCATTTGGCAGTACAAACTCAGTCCATATTAGTGGCATTGTGTTGGCCTTCTCAATCGCCCCGAATCATGGAGCGTGCTTGGAGTCAACTGCCAAACCTGTTCCCCCTCTGCCCTACAAAGAATGGAATGATAAAGCTCAGCAAGTGGAGGGTGAAGTGTGAACAGAGGAGCGAGGGTTCTCCCACCTCCAATCCCAGTCCAGAAAGAAAAAGTACCACGTTCGCTGAATTCTGCCCACCCCGGCTGTCTGCAAGAGGTAGTTCTGGCGTTCACACCCCCAGCCATCCCAACCCAATCCCATACACTAGCACTTCATTGCTATCTACTTTTTTTGTTTTGTTTTAAGTTCAATTTTAAAAGAAAAAAGTATATGCTCCAAAAAGAGAGGGACTAAAATTTGTTTTATTCCTCAGTTGGCTACTGTACCGAACTACCCAGAAGGAAGAGGATTCGACTACAAACTTCCCCTCCTTCCAATTAAACACAAAATAAAATATAAACTGGAGCAATAAAGCTCAGAGCGGTTTGATTCTAACTGATTCACTCCTGGCTCTATTCACATCGGATCAATATTTTCTTTAATAAGTTAGCAAGGCAGCCTTGGGGCTCAGCTATTGCCCTTAATGATTATCTACCTGTAATGAATATGGTCAGAATTAACGAAGCTTCCGCTCCAAGGCAGTGGAAGGAGAACTCCTCCCTCACTCTCCCTGATGTGCTCAAGCCACTGGTTTGCTCTATGTCCTCTTGATGCCTTGCCTAGATTACACCTCAGAGACTATGGATGGAAACACCACCTACTACATCCTAATATCCAGTTATGCCTCCAACCCAAAAGCCCCTCCCTGTCTCTAATGCGAATCCAAAGATTAAGCAGCAGAAGCAGCAGGATAAAGGAAAACCAGCGCAGAGCACTCGTTCCATAGGGTAAAACAGGCAAATGTGTGAAGGACGTCCTGCCAGCAACAGGAAGGTAAGATGACTACTGCTCAATGTGTTCAGCGTAAGTGCTCCCCAAAGGAGTACAACCAAATAATGCCAGACTGTGAAGTCGGTGAGAGGGGACGAGGGGCGGGCAGGCTGACAGGAGACCAACCTCCCCCTGAAAGGAACAGAAGGAAACTGAGGAAATCCATTTTTGGTCGCCACTATCTTGGTTCTAGGGATCAGATCTAGACGTTGGTTGTTGCTGGATGAGTTAGGGAGCTGCTGGGGCCGGTGCTGCTCCCGCGGTAGGTGGAGTCACCCCATCAGCGGGTGGTGGCGGCTGCTGCGAAGGAGGGGGATCTGCAAACACAGTGGAGAGAAGCATGTGAGCACCAGAACCACTTAATCAAGAGGTTTAAATTAAGCATAAGAAGCTGAGCTATTTCCTTACAAAATCCATCTACGTACAGCAATGACCCATGGCTTCCAAAGGGAAATGGAGGAGGGCCTAGAACTGGAATTATTTCACACTAGTCTGGGCACTGCGGTGAACTGCACTGGCTCCTGGAGATGGCCATGACCCTCTAGGGCGTTTTCATCGCCACATTCTAGGATGAACACTTTGAATTTGTGCTGTGCTTTTCATCCTCAAAGCACCGTACAAACTCACATTCCTCTAGCGAGGTAGGGAAGGGCTATCCCTACTTGTACAGAGTGGGTGACTGAGGCAGACAGGTTTAACTCCCTACATAATCTCAGCAAGCTGCTAATGTCAGACCTGGGTTTAGCACTTCACTGTTCCCATCTCTCAGTCCTGTGCACAGGAGCATTAGCTCAAGCCTCTTGTCTGTTTAAAACAGATGTAACAATACACTTTACAAGCAGACCTCTGCACGTACAGATTCAAGAAGTATATATAGGTGCCAACACAGGCAGACATCGGAAGATGTGGCACAGTGGGGAGAGAAGAATGAGGGTAGGTACAAAGGCCGGGTTTCAGGCACAGTGATCAGAGCACAGGGAAACAGATGCTAATGGAATAAGCCGGGGTTGTTCAGGAGAGGGAGAAAGTCAGAAATCAGGGTGAGGAAGAAGAGAACGGGGAAGTCAATTCAGCAGAGAGAGGACACTGTCAATGGCGGAGTTCCAGTAATACGGGAGAAGGAAAACAAAGAAAAGAAACAGCATAAGAAGGGGAAAAGAGACAAATCCAGGCAAAAGTAGCACTAGAACGAGACACTTCTGTTTACAGCAGTTACCATTAAAGAGTCAGCATTTCCCTCACACCCCTATCTGAGACAGCAGCATTTGATGCATATCTTTGCTAACAGGTAATGGCAATAGTTCAGGTACCACCGTATACTGACTGCTCATAAAGGGTTGACATTTTAGGAGCACTGCACAGGTCTCATCGTAACTTCTGTGTCTCTTGCAGCTGTTTAAGTAACCTCCATGCAAAGTCTAAAGGCTTTTGGGCTCTTTGGCTGGCGCAAGCCAGTGTACCATCAACCAACCAAGCCATCTGGATTTACACCAGTGGAGGATCTGGCCCATATGTCTTTAGTTTCTTTCTAACCAGCTTCCTCTTATTTTAAATCTTCCCCTTTTCTGAAGATGAAATTCACAGTGCTAGTTTTTGGTACGATGCTACTGCACTGCATTATACTGTGGTCACTACTAATTAGTGATTTAGTCACAGTTATGTCTTGAACCCACGCCTGTGTGTTCTTTTGGATTAAGCTGTGACCGGTTTTCATGGTGACCACAATGCCTCACCACCTTTACAAGTTAATCACAAAGGGGCAATAACACATGCTATGGTGCTCTGAATGAGAGAGAGAGAGAGAGAGAGAGAGACTTTTAAATCTTCCAACACCCCTCTGACAGAGATTTTTGGCTGCTAAAAACACAGATCTGATGGTTCCCACAGCACTCACAAAAAGGGTTTAAGCTACAATCACTTTTCCAGTAATAAGGAGACAAGCAATGGAAAACAAACAGTTGGTACATTCAGCCAGAGCTAATTCTGAAATCTCACTTACACATGCCATTTGGAGCTGCTAGGGGAACACGAGGTCCAATTACGTTTCCTGACATTGGTGGCATGCCAGATGGGGGAGGGCCACCGCTGGCTGGGTGGATGTTGGCTGACACAGATGGCATCATCCGGCCTGGCATGGCCTGCCCAGGTATCATTGAACCTGGCCCTGGCATCTGTCCTGCAGGGACATTAAAGAGAGATTGCGATGAAACTCAGTTAAAACACAGAAGTGAACAGAAGAGGAAAAATGTGGCCTAATTGTTCTCTAAGCAGGAAGAGAAAGCACTCTTGTGTGCTCAGATTCAACTCTCTGCTTCCACTCCAAATGCCATCTGCGATCATCCCAAAGGACAAGCTTCCCACCACTGAATAACACACTCCTTTCAGGAGGAACTGCCGTGAGATCTTGATGTCGCTAAAACCGTATAACACAACAGGCAACTGGAGGAGGAGTTTATTCACAGTTGCCTCTAGAACAGGATGGAATCTGGGTAAACAGGTGATTTTTAGCGGCCTTCGTGAAGATGCATTACCAACTGCACAGGGAGAACGAGGCTTCAAAATAGCAAAGCGCTCAGTAACAAGGGCAGGGACAAGGACTAATGGATTAACTGAATAGCAGAGCTGCAGTCATGCAGCTATAAATGATACCGGAAATACCTGCACAATGTAAAACACATTTTGATTTCAGTACAAGGAAGGTTTCTTAGAAACACCTCTGTGAGTGCAGCCCTCCTTCGTGGGTTAAGTTTCAGGAGCCTCAAGAAAAACTTAGAATTTTCAATGTCAAAACACCTACAACTCACTGACTGGATTTTAAAACCCCAGTTGAAGAGAGAGGGGTCCATAATCCATTACATTTACTTCTGCAGGATTCAGTGAACGCACATTTTGTAGCTGCAGTACTTTAGTTCGGGAAGCAGCCACTAGCCATGGATTGTAGCTATTTACAAATGTAAGTAAGGATTATTTTAAAAGATCCCTTCCATCCCAGACCCC